TTCTAGCTCATGTGCTTCGTTTTATGATTTCGCTACTAACAGGTTTAATTACCCAAGTTTGAATTTGAGGTTTTGGTGCTTATTCACCGCTTCCTGAAATAAACTTTTTAATGTTCAAGTCCCGCGTGGCAGCACATTGATAAAGAGGGAGTCAGAGGCTAAGAACGAGTAGGAAAGAGGCATCTTACTTAGCCAAAAAAAATTTTTATTTATAGATTGTTTTTCTTCGTTTCAATCGACATCGATCGATACAGTCTTCTTGAAGTTTTTCTGCTTAGTTCGCAGGTATTGCTATCGTGTGCTATTCTATTTACAACGCTTTGTGTTTTGTTTTTCTGTTATTATCCTTTGGAGTATATAGTAAGTATAGACATTGCTATCGTGAGTACGTATCTATTATATTATTTCAAAGTGAGCAATGAAGTGATTAGTACTAAGATTATTAGCGCGCATAAAACATACCACTCAGTCAGTAGGTGTAGACGAGGTAATCAAGAGGTTAGATCAAATTCTTCCAAAGTCAACGAGGCAGGAGTTTCAGCATTGAACATAAGGTTAATTGGTTATTACAAGGAACTTAGGACTGGTGAACGTTCTAAGCTCAAAGAAGAAATAAAAGGAGCTAAGGTTGGTACTGTGGGCAGTAAAAATTAATTACACCCACGCTAAAGACTGTAGAAATAAGGTCTAGTAGGGCGCAGTAGGAGAGGAGACGTTGAGGTTAAATCTCCAAATCTTTAGAGTTCTGCCTGTAGCCGAGACAAATATAGATATAATTTTATTTGTACAGAAAGACACTAATTTATCTGAGAAATCCCAATCCAGTGCGGTACTCAGAAGCAGTAATAGACGACGTCGGTCTAACTGATTGCTTCTATCAAATTAGCCCAACAATTTGCACATTTCTGTGCATACGTCACTGGTAATATCTCCTGTGTTAAAAGCGGAAAGTTTCTTAAAATATCAAAAATTCAAGATAACTTTAATACAAAGCATTTTTTCTATCTTATTTGCTAAATTTCGGTAAGAGCCACAATTAGCCTTTTAAAATTATTTACGGGTAAAATAAAGGTTGAAGCTTACTGTGGACTGCCTCTAACGTCAGTTCTCAGTGTGGGGTTTCACTGCTTTTTTCTATGATCTTGTTGGCAGTTTTTTTCGATTCAGATTTGAAATTAGGAATTTATTACTTGTCGAGGAGACATAACGTCTGTTGTAGTTGACAAATTTTGACTTTTCTATAGATGAAGGGCGAATAATTGGTCTTTTTTTTGGTCAGAAATAGTGTCTCAGTGATTAAAATAGGCGGGGTTTCTTTTTCTTAATAAGTAACTCAAGATTTAGCACAATATGTTCCCCTTAAAAATGCGTCTCGTAACTCTGTTCGAACGTTGTATTCTCGATTGAAATGAAACATTTAGTAGGTGAAAAAATACAGTCTAAGAAAATTTGCAATTTACTTATTCATAACTTCTTCCAACAGTAATCAAGTTTTATAAATTCAGTGTCATAATTACATGACTTATAAGTTATTCCTTTTTTTTTCGATGACATTTTTGCTTTTAAATTACCATAATTTTTAGAGCTCAATAAGCACTAAGAATTTCAAGAAGAAGAAAAAACCGAAACTAATTAACAGCATTCTATTATAACAATAGCATTAAGAATTTGCACTAAAAATTTTGAAACTGGTATTAGATCTCTTAGAACTTCTACAATTTCAAATTTTAAAAGATCTCTGCAATGTTTTATTAAAACGGTATAGGAGAAGGTTACCTGGTTGTAAATAATAATATATCCATTTGTATTATCAAGGCCAACTGTCAAATATGGAAATCCAACTTGTTTCGTCCAAGCTTCGGCAAAGGCTGTTAAACTAATATCTTCTGCTTTTAACGAGATATGCTTGAGAAATAAAAATTATTAATCGAGAAAAAAAGAGTGTTAAACAGCAGAATGAAGTATGAGTAGGAGGAATATAAGTCTGACAAAGCAATTTTAGAAAAAATTTTTCTTCTTTAAATTAAGCTAGAAGATTCACCAGTCGAGAAAAATGTCAAGATATTTTTTGCAAAAGTTGTCTTTCAAAAAATTAGCATAGAGAAAAGCAAAAAGAAATAAAAGTTACTTTATCAATAGTTTTCCATAAATCGTTACTTTCAGCATTACTGTAGGCGTAATGCTGCAGATACTCCTTCAACGACTGCTGGAATCGTTTTTCTCCTGCTAGTGTTGCTATCATCTCAATGATTGATGCTGCCTTCAACAGAAAACTTGATTCAGTGTTGTTTCATAGAATTCACTTATACAGTGACAACAGAACAAACCTTATGATATGATATGGCATCAAATATTGAGCCAATTTCAGCTGGATCGTCAACCTTGGTTGATACGGCATGCGTAGTTTCAAAAGCGTCAATTGCCATACTTGGCAAATAATTCTCAATGTAAAACTCATCCATCTGCAAAACTTGAGTATGCTTCAGCTGTTTTTTATTTTCTTCTCAGTAAACAGTAAAAATTAATTAATATCTTTGTCCATACTCTTCATCAATTTTAATCTTAAGAGTTTTTTTATTAGTTCTATAATGCTAAAATGCTTAAACATTAATTCATTACAAAGACACAAAAAAAAGTAATTTTAGTAACCAAATCACCAAAAAAAAAAGGAGACGTTTGTCAACGTATCATATGTTTCAGTTGTCAGTTGTCACTGTTTCTTAATCCGGGTAAAAAGCAATTAAAACTATAAGAAACTAACAATTTTCCATCTGGGATAAATTTCATCTACACAGTGATATTCCATAAACATAGCAAAACCTTCATTCAGCCATAGATCGTTCCACCATTTCATTGTTACCAAATTGCCAAACCACTGAAGCCGGTGAATGGAGAATAAAAGATTAATTAAAATTAATAATTAAAAATAAAAAAAAATTTGTTTTTACTGGCGTCTTATTAAAATATGATAACAGTTGTCTAGTGAAAATAAATTAGGTGGAATAACGTGAATACATTTTTTACCATCAAAAAGCAGTATTCAAAATTACAGTAAAAAAAAATAAAACAAAACAAAATTGAAACCTGATGCGCAATTTCATGGCATACAACTAAAGAAATGCCTTCTTTACTTTTTGTTGTCGACCCATCAGGATCGTGCAATAACATAGCATCCCTAAAAGTCACCAAACCCCAGTTTTCCATAGCTCCTTCAGCAAAATCGTTGAGTGCAAGTAAGTCTGAAGAAATGTCCTTAATAATGATAATAAGAGACTGATACTTTTGATACCAGTGTATGAATTTTCTTGCAAAATTAGACGACAATGATAATCAAATTAAGAAGTACTATTTCGTATCTTATTTCGTTGAGTCGTCTGCAGAACAGTAAACTGTAGATAAAGAAATACCTTGCTTTTGCAAAGCGTATGGTATGCCAAAATATTTTTCATACCATTCCATTGCTTTGACAGCAATATTTAAACCAAAATCTGTTTGATTCGTTATCACTTCAGAAGCTGCGTATAACGATATCTAGATAACTAAAGATTCTTGAAAATCTTGTTACTTTTTAGATACTATCGAATATTTTTGTCGTATAAACAAAAAATTCATCACCAAAAACAAACAAAAAATTAAGAACTACTCAACAATTTTCGCAACAAAC